TGGTACCTGGAATCACAAATCACCTGTTTTAGTTGTCTACTGCTTTAATTGAGGCTGCTGCCTTCAAGATTGCTTACTCACACCAATATTTTTTTTAATTTATTTATTTGTTCATTGGAAAGGCAGATTCATAGAGAGACAGGGAGAGACAGATCTATCTTACTATCTAATATGTTCTGCTGGTTCACTCTTCAAATGGTTTCAATGGCTAGGACTGGACCAGGCCAAAGCCAGAAGACAGGAACTCTATCCAGGTTTCCCAGGTGGATAGAAATGGTCCAAGTAGTTGGACTGTCTTCAGGTATTTTCCCAGGTGCATTAGTAGGGAACTGGACTGGAAGTGGAGCAACTCTGGCTTTAACCAGTGGTGGTAGAGACCCATTGTTCCATATCACATACCGATGATTTTTTACTGATTTGTTTATTTGAAAGGCAGAGAAATAGGTCCTCCATCTGCTGGATCACTCTGCAAAAGCCCACAATAGCAAGTGTTATATCTATGAAAGCCAGGAGGTAGGAACTCTATGTGGGTTTCACATTCAGATGGCAGGAAACTAAGTTTCTGAGCCATGATCTGTTGAACTCAAGAGAACACTTTTGGGCTGGTGCTGTGCTGTAACAAGAAAGTCATGACCTGCAATGCCAGCATCCCATGGGCACTGGTTCCAGTCCTGGCTGCCCACTTCCAATCCAGCTTTCTGCTAGGCCTGAGAAAGCAGTAGAAGATAGCTCAAGTCCTTGGGCCCCTGCACCTTCATGGGAGACCTGGAAGAAGCTCCTGGCTCCTGTTTTTGGATCTGTTTAGCTCTGGCCATTATGGCCATTTGGGAAGTGAACCAGCAGGTGGAAGGCCTATCTCTCTCTGCCTCTGCCTCTCTGTAGCTCTGCCTTTCAAGTAAATATTTAAAAAAAAACTTAAAAACAACACTTGCAGGAAGTTGAGTTGGAAGTGTGGAATAGGCAGGACACAAACCAGGCACTCTGTGACGTGGTATGTCCAGAGAAGTAGGTAAGCCTACTGCATCTTAATGCCTACCCTTCCAATGCCTGATTTGCACAGCCTTGACCTAGGCCCCAGGTGTCCATCAGGTAAGTCTCAGGATTCTCCACATGATTACTGTACAAGAAGGCACACTCCCAAAGGTAAAATACTTTACAAACTATGTTGATATATTATGGTCATATCATAGGCTAGATCAAGTGAACTGGAAAATGTCAGGGTTCTGTGTGGTGGAGAATTAGGTCAAGATTTGGATACAGGGAGGAGTGTCACATGGAACAGTTACAGAAAGCTGTGCTAACAGATTCTGTTAAGTTTCCCTATATATACAATTGTGGCCAAAAACTAATTTTGAAGCTGGATACTTTTAAGGAATTTGAGATACATAAAAAAAGCAAGAGATGTTTTAAGGAAAACAGTACTGCCTGAGTAATTTTCTATGTAATATAGATTCTAGCAAAATCATATTTTTTTTTGGTGTACTGCTGCTGTTAGGGTCTAAAAAAAAGCCCACCGCCCAAGGAACGACTCCAAGAGACTTTTTCTCTCATGCAACCAGCAAAGGGTTAAATTTATTGCTCCAACATGTTGGGGCCCTCTGACAAGGACAGAGGAGCAGTGAGGAACTACAGCATAGGGTTTATAAAGGCAAAAACCACAAAATCGGGAGGGGGGAGAGAACACACGGTTGCTAAGCTGATTGCTAAAATCTTACAATCAGCAATTATGATTTTAAGACATAGACAAATCACATCTTCATTAGCAGCCCAGGTAACCCAGGTGCAACCTTTCTACTTTTAAGCTTGAGCAATCATGCTAGGGGGTTTTTGTGCGTTGCCAAGGGTGGTGTAGTGCACTGCTATTGTCCGACTATTTGAGATCATAGTTTCAGACCAGAGTCTCACGGTGGGGGGGGGGGGGTTGCTTTCCCAGAATGCAGTCTCAAGTGCTCCAAAATGGAGTCCCTACTGTCAAGGTGCTACTTTACTCTGTCTTATTTTCACAAGCTGCACCAGGAAGGTTTAAACCTGTAAGCTTAAGCTTAACTTTTTACACCCGCACATATATAATTTTAACTCTTCATTCCCCACTCCTTGTTGTGAGGATCTCTAATCTTAGAGATTATTCGTTTTTGTCTCTTTTAATGTGACATATTGTTGTCTTATAACCATGAGTTTAACATTTTTAACTTGTTCCCACATGAAGGTGATGAGTCTATTTAACACACAAGGTCCTATGGTTACAATTAGGAGTAGAATAATTAAGGGTCCTGTTAGGGCTGACAGTAGAGTAGTAAGGCACAGGGACCGGCCGAATTATGACTCAAACCATCCCTGTTGAGTTTCCCTTTCCCGTTGCCATTTTTTCAGTCGTTTTTTGAGTTTGGCCATGGAGTTTCTAACCACCCCAGTTTAGTTGACATAAAAACAATATATTTTTTTTTTTTTAGGGCCGCGCATAACCCACCCCCATGAAAATGAGATTTAACCCCCGCCTGTTCTGTAATACTGAAATGCAGATACTGGGCTGCATCTGGGAGATTGTGGAAGATTTGTCAGGCAGAAGGGGCGGGCATCTCCACCTGGCAGGTTATCAGGTAGAAGGGGGCAGGGCAGGATGCAAAGGTCAGGCTGCCCGTGAAACATTGTCAGGATGACTGAGATGCAGATGCATATGCTGGACACATTAGGCCTTTATGTCACACACACATAAGCTCATAACTGACTTTCTGCCTAATATTTTTCCCTCAAGAGGTAATACCCAAAATTCTTCTTTGGGATTATGGATGGAGTTCCGTTTTCTGTAACTTCTTCGAAGCTGGCATGTGGGCGTCGAGGGGGATTTGGGTATTTCCTCTTGCTACCTGTCTTATGGTGTGCAACAGTGGCCTTGGAAAGACTGTGTTGCTCGGTCCAGAGGGCTGCTCAAGTCGTCCAGTGGAATGGGCTGGAAGTCTTGCCTGTTGACCATTTGGAGTTCAACAGCTTTTAGTCTGTTAGAGACAAAACGAACAAGGGCATTAAAAACACACGGTGCAAAGAGAAGCATCAAGATTGCAGAAGTTAGCGGGCCAAGGAGAGGAAATAGCCAGGATTTCCATGACCAGATGTCAGGCCAGAAATCCCAGCTCTGCTTGGCCTGGTCCTGGAGCTGTTTGGCTTTTTCCAGGAAAAGTACAAATCTGGGTTTGTGCCTGTCTAGTCTGATTGACCCAGAGACAATTTTTTTTTTTTTTTTTGATATTTAGTAGCCAGTTTTGCTAGGAAGTTAAGCCAATGTACAAGACTGGAGTCTCAGGCTGGGAAAAGGACAGACTAATGAATTATTTACATTTAACCATTTATATTATGGATTATTGTGCACACCCCTTAAGAGATAGGCCCTTTAAGTCCTCAGTGAGGACCTGTTCAAATCGGTGTAGGGCTATCTGAGTTAGATGTTACCAAAAGCCCTGTTTTTAGGAACTGGCAGGGAGGGCTTTCTAAGCTTAATGTTATTGGATAGACTTTTAAGGCCTGGCTGGGTGTGTGAGGCCCAGACCTATCCATGGGGTGCTGGAAGAGAATTGAAAGAGATGCAAATCTCCTTTAAGGGAGGCACCCTGTTGACTTGCATTACATGGATGGACTAGGAGGAGAGCTGAATAGGAGGCTGATGGAAATAGGCAACTTGCATGTCACTGACCCTAGGCCATCCCCTCAATAGCAGTGGCTGGAGCTGGAAGCTGGGCAGAGGCTGGGCAGAACCAAAGGCTTTTTAGCTTGGGGCCACAGGGTCAGCGGTTCTGAACCAGGAGTCCTTCGACACCCAGGGCAGTTCCGTGTCCAGTGGCCGTGCTCTTGGCAGGGCTGACAGAAGGCATTTGCTGTCATGACAGCTGCTTGCCCAATGCCCTGGCTCCTTATATCAGCAACAGGTGCCATTTGGGGTGCACTGCCTTGCTGGGTCTCCTTGATGGCAATCACCGTGTAAAGCAGCCATTGATTGGTCTGTTGCCTATCCTCTGCTGCTAGCTTGCTCCTCATTTTTCTGGTCTCTAATAAAGTAGACCAAGGAGGCAGCCTCTATGATGTCAGTCAAGGGGGTGCTTAACCCAATCCTGATTTTTGGAGATTTTTTTTAAATATCAGGGTGAGCTAGAAAAACTATGGTCATGGGCAAATTCTGACACTTAGTATTTTCCTGCGAGTTAAGACCGTGCCCATGAGGAGAACTATGACTCTTTAGGTAAGATTAACTGTGGTGACCTGCTTGCATACTTTGAGGTCATCAGTGTAACTTTTTACACCGAAAAATTGATCTAGTTATTACATTATTTTATAGTTCAACCTTTTTTGTTGTTGTTGTTGTTGTTTGGGGCCCTATACTGTGGCCAGGCATTATTACAGAAAAGGTCAGTCATCCCTTACATAAGGTCTGGGGATCAAACCGTACATCACAGTGGAGAGTCCTGCAGAACAGTAGTAACTTCCCTTCTGGAAGAGAAAAGAGGAGAAGTGAGGCAGTGAGTTGGGTCTCTAGCCTGACTTTTTGGGCTTTTAGATTTAACTGGCAGTTTAACCAGTGTTTACTGTGTAGCCTAACTTAGAGGAGAAATTGTGGCAGAGGTCTCTGCCATTCTTTGGCTTCTGGGTATTTACCGTGTAGCCTGTGGACACTAGAGCTTTCTTGTGTTTCTGGAACCCAGTTTTCTAGCATCTGCCACATAACCATAACTTAACAGAGACAGTAGAGTACACAATGGATTAACATGAATTTTATGTCTCTTGTTGTCGAATAAACCAGAAATAAAAAAACCCTTGTATATAAGAGTTTACATAATTTAGGATTATTTAACAGAGTCAAAAAAAGAGCTTACAGGACCTAACTCTAGAAATGGCAGAGTAACCGAATAAGCCGACACTGTTAAAATAGACATTACAGTTTTTGCAAAAACAGATTTTGATTTATGATTTAGACCATTTTTAGATATTTACTAACATTAGTACACATTTTTATAAAAAAAAAAAAAACCATTGTTATAACAGAAGATCAGACTTTAACTTTAGGTTAGTGTAATTTTGGCATTAGCACTCAACTCTGTAAACAATATTTTAAAATTGTAAACATTTTAAAACTTTTTATGACTTGTTTACACCTTTTGAAACTTTATACCCGTAGTTACTTTTACATAGCCTTGAATTGTCATGTATGGACAACCTATGAGAATACACGTTAACAAACTCAAACAGTTTTTTTTTTATCGAATTTGAGATGTTAAAAGTATATATAATATATTTTCCCAAGTTTTACTTAGCACTGATGCCTAGATGTCTTAAGACACTGAGTTATTAATGAATACCACACCATTATCTGAAATAGAAGTTAAAATTACATTTTATGTTTTTAAGTAACATGAGGATAACACCTCCTGGACAGCAAACACTAGTGTATGTTTACAACTTTGAAAAGATCTTCCTCATTAAGAGAAACAAGTTTAAAGCATATCAAAGACATGTAAAACTGAGCAAGCAAGCCACTGAGCAAACCGAAGGGTGTTTGCATTACCTCAATTTTCTGAACCAATCTGCATTGGCTTACTTTAGTTAACAACATAAAGGCTTGTATACACAGAATTTACTCTTATTCTTATAAGACCACTTTAGCTGGAAAGCAAAAACATAAATACAGTATAGGTCTGACACCATTTATAACATTTTAATATATTTTATATAATTTGAATTGACCCAAGCAGCTGTTACTTTAACAAAGTTAGAGTCTCATTCTTTGAGAGTTCCAGGGATCCGGCTGGAAGCCCAAAGTTGGAAGACTCGGTTTAGAATTTAAGCTGTCAGAGAGTCAAACCATTTAGCCAAAATTAGTACATTTCTGATCAGTTGGGTAATCACTCAGACATTAAAAACAGATAAACAATGTAAACAACTTTGCATTGTAGTTTTTCCAATTAAGACTCTAATGGCAATAGAAAAACACGAAACCTTCAAGACAGGTGAATGCTCTCAGATGAATAACCCATTGTTTAGGTTTTTATTAGCTGCAAAGAGAAAAACCCATCAGGTTGGTAAGGGTTAATGGCTTAAGGTTCTGGCGCCCTTAGGTAAGACCAGCAGTAGTATTGAATTGGAAATTCCTCCAGGAGAGGAGAGAAAAAAGCAACCCTGGGGTGGGGGCTCTGCCTAGAGATATTTGGCTATGCCTGCCTGGGTGCGGCAGGCCACATGAACTAGAATACAGTGCAGAGAAAGGCTGTGGTCCCCCATTTACAGGGAAGACTGCACACACTGTGGCCTGGCAGGACTAACCGTGGGGTTGGGTAAGTGTGCCGTTTTACTAAGAGTGTTGGGAACCTCCTATAATTTAACCAAAGCCAGATCAATTAGGACTACTGCAGACACTCAGTCAATTACAACAGATAGTTAACTTTAGCTTTTTTCCAGATTTAGTCCTTAGGCAATCAAAGCTTAGCAACAGTAATACTTCACAAAAAACTTTAAGACGCACCAGAGCTACCATAAGCTGCAAAGACTTTCTACCAGGTTGGAAAGGGTTAACAGGTAGCAGGTAACAGCTTTTCCCTAGGTGGAGAGACCTGTGGAATTTTCCTCTCCCTTTCTCCTGGCCAGTGGTACAGGAATGGAGATGAGGAGAGCAAAAGAGTGGAGGAGGGAGCCCCTGGGAGGAGGAAGGCAGAAAGCAATAAAGCTCCTCAGTCTGGGGGCTGAGTGGGGTTTGAAATCTCCTATCGCTCAAGGTTACCCACTACCTAGTTGTCTGAGTTTACCTGAAGGGCCAATATTAGCCTCGACCGAAGCTAAGCCCTGCTCGCGTAGCAGTAGGCAGCGTGACCAGGCGTCCCTCCGAGAGAGAGACCTGATCCTCGGGTTGCAGTCCGGCCGCCGGGAAGCCAAAGTGAGCTCAGGGGGTCTCCAGGCTCTCAGCCAACTGCCCTTCCTAATTTCCCTCCCGTTCCTTACAATCCCTCTGGAGTTTCGGCCGTAGCTAAGCCGTGGCCGGGGGGACTCCGCGTTCTCGGAGAGCTGTGGGGTGCCGGACACTCAACGGTCACTTCCACAGATCTGGTCCCGCTTGAGGGAAGGAATACTGACCTTCAATGTCTTCTTAAAATCCCCGTCTGGGTGCCCATGACGGCCAGGCTGGAGAACGGCCTCTTTCACTCAGCTAATGAGTGGTAAATGGAATGAGCCCTCCGGGGGCCAATCCACTCTGAGAGCAGGTCATTTAGAGACACAGAAAGACTGCCACTTTACCTTTTTGACTGACAAAGAAAGGTTATGTGCCTAGTGGCTTACCTCTGACCAATGATTCAAAGTTAGAGACAAAGGTGTAGACACAGTCTGGCCCATGTTAGCAGACAACACAATGTACACAAACAGACAAACAGCGTAGAGAAGCAGCATACAACGACCACACAAATGTCTACCAAACGGGAGCCATCACGGCGTCCCAAAAATGCTTAACAAATACAAAAGACTAACGAGCTCGATCAAATACCAAAGTTTCGGCAGTACAAACAAAATGTGAGTCTCTGCAGTCTATTTCCCTACTGCAGGCAACCCACCAAACAGGAAACACTGGGCGTCCCCAGTTCTCCCTTTCTCCCGGGGCGTCCCCCGGGATGTGGTCTGTGGCTCTGGAGCACGTCTGCCCGCCACAGTCGGGTGGAGCTCTCGCTCGAGCCCGACAACCACGCTGCCGATTACAAACAAATAACAAACCTCACCAAACAACAAATCAAAGTGTACACGTTCAATCAAAACAATAGGTGCCTTACTCACCCCGAGAGATATCCGTTGGAGGCGTCCACAGGCAGCAGTCAGGTCTCGGTGGGACCTCCAAATGTTAGGGTCTAAAAAAAAGCCCACCGCCCAAGGAACGACTCCAAGAGACTTTTTCTCTCATGCAACCAGCAAAGGGTTAAATTTATTGATCCAACATGTTGGGGCCCTCTGACAAGGACAGAGGAGCAGTGAGGAACTACAGCATAGGGTTTATAAAGGCAAAAACCACAAAATCGGGAGGGGGGAGAGAATACACGGTTGCTAAGCGGTTGCTAAAATCTTACAATCAGCAATTATGATTTTAAGACATAGACAAATCACATCTTCATTAGCAGCCCAGGTAACCCAGGTGCAACCTTTCTACTTTTAAGCTTGAGCAATCATGCTAGGGGGTTTTTGTGCGTTGCCAAGGGTGGTGTAGTGCACTGCTATTGTCCGACTATTTGAGATCATAGTTTCAGACCAGAGTCTCACGGTGGGGGGGGGGTTGCTTTCCCAGAATGCAGTCTCAAGTGCTCCAAAATGGAGTCCCTACTGTCAAGGTGCTACTTTACTCTGTCTTATTTTCACAGCTGCACCAGGAAGGTTTAAACCTGTAAGCTTAAGCTTAACTTTTTACACCCGCACATATATAATTTTAACTCTTCACTGCTTATTTGAACAATTGTGATGAACATTATAAATTATTTCTATATGGTTTATTTATTTATTTGAAAGGCTGAGTTACAAAGAGACAGAGGCAGGGAGAGAGAGAGAGAGGCCTTCCATCTGCTGGTTCACTCCCACATGTCCTCAATGGCTGGGGCTGGGCTGATCTGAAGCCAGTAGCCTGGAGCTTCTTATAGGTCTCCCATGTGAGTGCATGGGGCCCAAGGACTTAGGTGCTCATCCACTGCTTTCCCAGTCCATAGCAGAGAGCTAGATCAGAAGTAGAGTAGCTGGGACTCATATTGGTGCCCATATGAATGCCCATACTGTAGGAGATGGCTTTACCCACTACTCCATAGTGACAGCCCTGACAAGGATTTTTTTTTACAGAATTGGTAATAAATTAATATTTTAGTTAGTCTAACAATAGTTTATGCTTAATCATAGTGATTGGTAGACTAGTGTGTGCTCTTTTGGCATCTTTTCTGTTTTTCCCATGTGTAAAGATTATATTCCCCCACAGGGAGGCTACCTCATTTTTGTCACTGAGCCAATATGCCCATTTTTCTATATACATTTCCTTCATGATCTTGATTAGCACAGTAGACTCTAGAAAGAATCTAGACTTTTTGTCTGACCCCTCCTTCTCAGCAATTTCTCTTGCAGATAAGATTCTAGAGACATCTACATGTGGCCAAGACCAACAAAAATAAATATATTGCTGGTAGGTTGTTTATTTATTCCTCAGCTTCTTTCACATTGTATATTAAGAGCTTTATGAGATTTTTAAAATAAATTGGAAAAGCATAAAGAAATATAATTCAGAATCAGGATTCATATAAGATAAAGTAAGCATGGTTTCAAGATTTAAAGCCACCTGAGCTGAATGCACATTGGTCTCAATTTTTTTTATTGCCATAGCTACAAGACATGGTTTGAATTCAAACTTCAGCAAGAATTTGCTACATCAGAAACAATTAATTAAAAAGGTAATATTTTGAATTATTAAAGTAGAGTTTCTTTAAAAGCTTTTGGAGGCTGAACTTGCTTCATGGATTAGATCAGAAAATGTGTATAGGATCAAATCTATTGCAGGCCCTTAAATAACTCTCCATAGTTTTATCACGGTGATTCTACAAATGCAGGACTACTTCAGAGTCCACAAAGTTATGTTTCAAGCAAATTATTCCATTTATCAATGGCATAAACTATAGTCAGAGCCCAAGACAATTCTCTAGTCTTTGACTTGAATCTTTTGCCTCTTAAAGTATTTATATACTTGAGAGAGAATGAGAAGCAGATGGAAATATATAGAGATCTTTTTTAAAAAGGATTTTATTTATTTATTTGATGGGCATAGTTACAGGGAGAGGAGAGACATATAAATTTTTTATCCACTGGTTCAGTCTCCAAATGGCCAAAGCAGCTGGAGATGGGCTGATCCAAAGCTAGGAGCCAGGAGCTTCCTCTGGGTCTCCCAGGTGGGTTTAGGGGCCCAAGGACTTGGACTATCTTCCACTGCTTTGCCAGGACAAAAACAGAGAGCTGGATGCAAAGAAGAGCATCTGGGGCCCTTGCTGTGGCATGGTAAGTTAAGCCTCTGCCTGTGGTGCCGGCATCCCATATAGGCACTGATTTGAGTCCCAGTTGGTGCACTTCCAATCCAGCCCTTTGCTATGGCCTGGGAAAGTAGTCGAGGATGGCCCAACTCTTGGGGCCCCTGCACCCAAGTGGGAGACCTGGAGGATGCTCCTGGCTTCTGGCTTTGTATCCGCCCAGCTCCAACTATTGCAGCCATTTTGGGAGTGAACCAGCAGATGGAAGACCTTTCTCTCTGTCTCTCCAGCTCTCTCTCTGCAACTCTACTTTCAAATAAATATTTAAAAAAGAAGAAGAGCATCTGGAACACAAACTGGTGCCCATATGGGATGCTGGCACTGTGGGTGGAGGCTTAGCCTGCTCTGTGTTATGGAATGACAGAGAGAAAGGGAGAGAGAGATAGAGACAGACACCTTCAATCCATTGATTCATACCCACAACACCCACAACACCCACATTGATTCACACCCACAACAACCAGGGCTGGGACAGGGTCATAACTGAGAGCCAGGAATATAGTCCTAGCCTCTCACTTAAGTTGCAGAAGCTTAATTTCTTGAGTTGTCAACACTCACTTCTAGTGTCTAAATTTACAAAAATTGTGACATTGCAGTATATTGGGTTAAACAGCTGCCTGGGATTCAAGCATCCCTTATGGGTTCTGGTTTTTTTCCTGGCTGCTCCACTTCCAATCTAGCTCCCTGCTTAGGGCACCTGTGAAAGCAGAAGATGGTCCAAGTGCTTGGGCACCTGCCACCCATGTGTGAGACCCAGATGAAGCTTCTGGCTCCTGGTTTCAGTCTGGCCCAGCTCTTGCTGTTACAGCCACTTGGGGAGTGGAACAACAGCTAGAAGATCTTCCACTGCCTTCTGCTCTCTACAAAATTTTGTTTTTCAAAACAAAAAATTAAATAATTAAAAATACATAAGATGAAAAATGCATCATTCATTCTTTGCTTTTAAATATTGCTACCAAGTAGCCTTGACCCAAATCATCAAAAAGAAAATTTTCCTGGAATGTTCCTTTCATATCTTTTTTCCTTAGAAACCTTTTATTTAAGGAAGACAAACTTCATGCATTTCATAATTACAACTTTAAGAACATAGTGACTCTTCCCACCACAGCCACCCTCCCACCCACACTCTTCATCTTCTTCCTCTCCTATTCTCATTCCTATTTTTTACTAAGATCTATTTTCAATTAACTTTATACACATATGAGTAACTCTATACTAAGTGAAGAGTTCAACAGATAATGTGAAAAAAAATGTTCCTCAATAGTCAAGACAAGGGCTGTTCAAAGTCATTGCTTCTCAAAGTGTCAATTGCATTTCTGTAGGTTATCTTTAGGTGTGCTATTAGTTATCACAGGTCAGGGAGAATATATGTTTTTGTCCTTTTTAGACTGGCTTATTCACTAAGTACGATGTTTTGAGGTATCTCCATACTGTCTTCCATGGTGTCTTTACCAGTTTACATTCCCACAAACAGTGGATCAGATGTGTTTTCCACACATCTTTGGCAGCATTTGTTTGATTTCTATGTGAATGCCATTCTAACGGGGGTGAGGTAAAACTTCCTTGTGGTTTTGATTTACATTTCTCTGTTGAATGGTGATCCTGAGCATTTTCTCATGTATCTGTTGGCTATTTGGATTTCTTTTTAAAAATACCTGTTTAAGTCCTTTGCCCATTTCTGCACTGGGTTGTTTGTTTTGTTGTGGAATTTCTTGAGCCTCTATATATTCTGATTACTAATCCTTTATCAGTTACATAGTTTGCAAATAATTTCTCCTATTTTGTCTGTTGGCTCTTCACTTTGCTGAGTGTTTCATTTGCAGTACAGAAGCTTCTCAATTTGATGTAATCCCATTTGTCAATTTTGGCTTTGATTGCTTGTGCCTCTTTGGTCTTTTCCAAGTAGTCTTTTTCTATGCCAATGTCTTGCAGGGTTACCCCAACTTTCTCTAATAATTTGGTATCAGGTTGTTATTTAAATCTTTAGTCAATTTTAATCCATTTGAGTGTATTTTTGTAACGTGTAAAGTAGGAGTTTGCTTCATACTTCTGTTAGAGTCGACCGCCCAAAAAATGTCACCAAGAGACACGTCTCTTATGCAGACAGCACGGGGAAGCTTTATTGATTATCCAGCATGCTGGGGCTGCCTGATCATACAAAAGCAGAGCAGCCCTGTATAACCAAAGGTTAGGGTTTATGAAGGCAAAAACCACAAAATTGGGAGGGGGGAGAGAACACACGGTTGTTAAGTGGTTGCTAATATCTTACAATCGGCAATTATGATCTTAAGACATAGACAAATCACATTTTCATTATTAGCTCAGGTAACCCAGGTGTAACCTTTTTATTTTTAAGCTTGAGCAATCATGCTAGAGGGTTTTTGTGTGTTGCCAAGGGTGATGTAGTGCACTGCTATTGTCCGACTATTTGAGATCATAGTTTCAGACCAGAGTCTCACGGTGGGGGGGGGGGGTTGCTTTCCCAGAATGCAGTCTCAAGTGCTCCAAAATGGAGTCCCTACTGTCAAGGTGCTACTTCACTCTGTCTTATCTTCACAGCTGCACCAGGAAGGTTTAAACCTGTAAGCTTAAGCTTAACTTTTTACACCTGCACACATACAATTTTAACTCTTCATTCCCCACTCCTTGTTGTGAGGATCTCTAATCTTAGAGATTATTCGTTTTTGTCTCTTTTAATGTGACATATTGTTGTCTTATGACCATGAGTTTAACATTTTTAACTTGTTTCCGTATGAAGGTGATGAGTCTATTTAACACACAAGGTCCTACGGTTACAATTAGGAGTAGAATAATTAAGGGTCCTGCTAGGGCTGACAGTAGGGTAGTAAGCCATGGGGACCAGCCAAACCATGACTCAAACCATCCCTGTTAAGTTTCCCTCTCCCGTTGCCATTGTTCCAGTCATTTTTTTTTTTTTTTTTTTGAGTTTGGCCATGGAGTTTCTAATCACCCCGGTTCAGTCAGCATAAAAACAACATTTTTCCTTTAGGGCCGCGCATAACCACCCCCCAACCATGAAAATGAGATTCAACCCCCGCCTGTTCTGTAATACTGAAATGCAGATACTGGGCCGCATCTGGGAGATTGTGGAAGATTTGTCAGGCAGAAGGGGCGGGCATCTCCACCTGGCAGGTTATCAGGTAGAAGGGGGCAGGGCAGGATGCAAAGGTCAGGCTGCCCGTGAAACATTGTCAGGATGACTGAGATGCAGATGCATATGCTGGACACATTAGGCCTTTATGTCACACACACATAAGCTCATAACTGACTTTCTGCCTAATATTTTTCCCTCAAGAGGTAATACCCAAAATTCTTCTTTGGGATTATGGATGGAGTTCCATTTTCTGTAACTTCTTCGAAGCTGGCATGTGGGCGTTGAAGGGGATTTGGGTATTTCCTCTTGCTACCTGTCTTATGGTGTGCAACAGTGGCCTTGGAAAGACTGTGTTGCTCGGTCCAGAGGGCTGCTCAAGTCGTCCAGTGGAATGGGCTGGAAGTCTTGCCTGATGACCATTTGGAGTTCAACAGCTTTTAGTATGTTAGAGACAAAACGAACAAGGACATTAAAAACACACGGCCCAGGCCGGCGCCGCGGCTCACTAGGCTAATCCTCCACCTAGCGGCGCCGGCACACCGGGTTCTAGTCCCGGTCGGGGCGCCGGATTCTGTCCCAGTTGCCCCTCTTCAAGGCCAGCCCTCTGCTGTGGCCAGGGAGTGCAGTGGAGGATGGCCCAGGTGCTTGGGCCCTGCACCCCATGGGAGACCAGGAAAAGCACCTGGCTCCTGGCTCCTGCCATCGGATCAGCGCGGTGTGCCGGCCGCAGCGCGCCGGCCGCGGCGGCCATTGAAGGGTGAACCAACGGCAAAGGAAGACCTTTCTCTCTGTCTCTCTCTCTCACTGTCCACTCTGCCTGTCAAAAAATAAAAAAAAATAATAAAAAAAAAAAAAAAAAACACACACGGCCCAAAGAGAAGCATCAAGATTGCAGAAGTTAGTGGGCCAAGGAGAGGAAATAGCCAGGATTTTTATGATCAGATGTTAGGCCAGAAATCCCAGACCTGCTTGGCCTGGTCCTGGAGCTGTTTGGCTTTTTCCAGAAAAAGTACAAATTTGGGTTTGTGTCTGTCTAGTCTGATTGACCCAGAGACTATATATATATATATATATATTCGGATATCTAGTAGCCAGTTTTGCTAGGAAGTTAAGCCAATGTACAAGACGAGAGTCTCAGGCTGGGAAAAGGACAGACTAATGAATTATTTACATTTAACTATTTATATTATGGATTATTGTGCACACCCCTCAAGAGATAGGCCCTTTAAGTCCTCAGTGAGGACCTGTCCAAATAGGTGTAGGGCTATCTGAGTTAGCTGTTACTGAAAGCCCTGTTTTTAGGAACTGGCAGGGAGGACTTTCTAATGTTATTGGATAGACTTTTAAGGCCTGGCTGGGTGTGTGAGGCCCAGAGCTATCCATGGGATGCTGGAAGAGAATTGAAAGAGATGCAAATCTCCCTTAAGGGAGGCACCCTGTTGACTTGCATTACCTGGCTGGACTAGGAGGAGAGCTGAATAGGAGGCTGATAGAAATAGGCAACTTACATTTCACTGACCCTAGGCCATCCCCTCAATAGCAGTGGCTGGAGCTGGAAGCTGGGCAGAGGCTGGGCAGAACCAAAGGCTTTTTAGCTCCGGGCCACAGGGTCTGCAGTTCTGAACCAGGAGTCCTTCGACACCCAGGGCAGTTCCATGTCCGGTGACCGTGCTCTTGGCAGAGCTGACAGAAGGCATTTGCTGTCATGACAGCTGCTTGCCCAATGCCCTGGCTCCTTATATCAGTAACAGGTGCCATTTGGGGTGCATTGGCCTTGCTGGGTCTCCTTGACAGCAGATCACCGTGTAAAGCAGCCATTGATTGGCCTGTTGCCTATCCTTTGCTGCTAGCTTGCTCCTCGTTCTTCTGGTCTCTAATAAAGTAGACCAAGGAGCCAGCCTCTATGCTTTTGTTACAGTCGAATTAGAGTTGAATTGCTCTTGCCACCCCAAAAAACGCTCCAAGAGACCTTCTCTCATGTAATTAACAAAGGGTAAAGTTTATTGATGTTCCGACATGTCGGGGCCCCCGTCCCAGTACAGGCGAGCGGCCTCGAATAGTTTTGGGTTGGGGTTTTTATACACATTTAAACAAAGAAAATCAATCATTGCGTAGAGCAGACAGTGGTACAAGTTAAGCGATTTTACAATCAGTTGATTTATGAACACAGGGAGTATCAAAAAGCCTCCTATTGCCAAAAGGGAGGGCCACACAAGATTGCAGGAACTGCCTTGATGATACCTAGGAATGCAGCCGAATGGCGATAAGGGACACCTGGTGGAGTCAGGGGTCCAGGAGGCAGAGATATATGGTGACTTCTTCTATCTCACTTAGGTGAAACTGAGGTTACGCTCACATTGGGGTAATTTACTGACCAATTAACTTTATAGAGAATGGCTATGCAGAACAAGTCTAAGGAGGTCAGGAAAGTTCACCAGAGGAGGTTGGGGGGGGGAGCGGCTTTTAACTTTTTAACCCTTCATTCCCCACTCCTCTTAGGCCAGGGTCTCTAATCTTAGAGACCATCTGTTTCCCCTTTCCCGTGTGTTACATATTGTTGACGAATTACCATAAGTTTAACATTTTTGACTTGTTTTTAAAGAAATGTGACAAGCCTATTTAATATATAGGGTCCTATAGTAATAATTAGGAGCAGCACAACTAGGGGACCTGCCAGTGCTAATAACGTAGTCAGCCAGGGAGACTTAGTGAACCACGACTCAAACCATCCCTGTTGCTGAAGTCTGTCCCACTGTCTTTCCTCTAAGCATTTACGTAGTTGAGCCATGTTGTCCCTCGCCACCCCTGTCTTGTCTACATAGAAGCAGCATTCCTCTTTAAGGGCTGCACATAACCCCCCCTCTATGAAAATGAGATCCTGTTCTGCAATACTGAAATGCAGATACTGGGCTGTATCCGGGAGGTTGTGGAAGATTTGTCAGGCAGAAGGGGTGGGGATCTCCACCTGGCAGGTTATCAGGTAGAAGGGGGCAGGGCAGGATGTAAAGGCCGGGCTTTCAGTGAAACATTGTCAGGATGACTGAGGTGTAGATGCATATGCTGGACACATTAGGCCTTTATGTCACACACACATAAGCTCATAACTGACTTTCTGCCTAATATTTTCCCCTCAAGAGGTAATACCCAAAATTCTTCTTTGGGATTATGGATGGAGTTCCGTTTTCTGTAACTTCTTCAAAGCTGGCATGTGGGCGTCGAGGGGGGTTTGGGTATTTCCTCTTGCTACCTGTCTTATGGTGTGCAACAGTGGCCTTGGAAAGACGGTGCCGCTCGGTCCAGAGGGCTGCTCAGGTCGTCCAGTGGAATGGGCTGGAAGCCTTGCCTGATGACCATTTGGAGTTTAACAGCTTTTAGTCTGTTAGAGACAAAACGAACAAGGGCATTAAAAACACACAGTGCAAAGAGAAGCATCAAGATTGCAGAAGTTATTGGGCCAAGGAGAGGAAACAGCCAGGATTTCCGTGACCAGATATCAGGGCAGAAATCCCAGCCCTGCTTTGCCTGGTCCTGGAGCTGTTTGGCTTTTTCCAGGAAAAGTACGAATTCGGATTTGTACCTGTCTAGTCTGATTGACCCAGAGACAACATTTTTCCTGGAACATGGCACAAATAGCTCCTGGAGCAGTAGTTAGCATGTCTAATTATTTATTTTTTTATAACCTTTTGTGACTTCACACACCCTCTTTAACTTACTTGAAACATTCCATTATTTCCATTCCAGTCTAGAGTAAACTAGCCATCAGGATTTTTACAAACCATGTCCTTTTCTTATTTAAAAAGCTCTTTTCTTTTTAACCCTTTTTACCAAGAATACTCTTTCCTTCTAAACCTTACTTACCAAGCACACATTTCTATCCTTGTGATGTTTTTCATAGAGCCTGGTTGGCTCTTTCTGCCTTACCGGAAGACTGAGGTCTCCATGCAGAGTGAAGATGCCTTACAAATCCCTTGTGTGATCTAGAGCTCTGGTTAAGGCAATTCTGCTAAATGAGCAAAAGTCCCTGGGGGCAGAGCACTCTTCAATAACGTGCCATGTCATAACTATTGCATACCCTGAGAAGCAGGTCCAGTCTGACAAAGCTGCTTCCATCTGTGACCCAAACCTCATCTGCGTTAGTCAGGGGGTTGTCTCTTGGGTCCCTTCTGCTGGCATAGATCAAGTCTATAGTCTCAGTATAGGAGTGGAGGGGACCACTTTCCCCTGGAACTGGCAGGGAGGGCTTTTTAAGTTTATTTTTAAGGCCTGGCTGGGTGTGTGAGGCCCAGACCTATCCATGGGGTGCTATTAAGAGAATTGTAAGAATCCCTTAAGGGAGGCACCCTGTTGACTTGCATTACATGGCTGGACTAGGAGGAGAGCTGAATAGGAGGCTGACAGAAATAGGCAACTTGCGTTTTACTGACCCTAGGCCATCCCCAATAGCAGTGGCTGGAGCTGGAAGCTGGGCAGAGCCAAAGGCTTTTTAGCTCGGGGCCACAGGGTCTGCGGTTCTGAACCAGGAGTCCTTCGACACCCAGGGCAGTTCCATGTCCAGTAGCCTTGCTCTTGGCAGAGCTGACAGAAGGCAGTCGCTGTTACAACAGCTGCTTGCCCAATGCCCTGGCTCCTTATGTCAGCAACAGGCGCCATTTGGGGTGCACTGGCCCTGCTGGGTTTCCTTGACAGTGGATCACCATGTAAAGCAGCCACTGATTGGCCTGTTGCCCATCCTTACATCGCTCCTGCTGCTAGCTTGCTCCTCAATTTCCTGGTCTCTAATAAAGTGGACCAAGGAGGCAGCCTCTATGATGTCAGTCAAGGGGGTGCTCAACCCCGTCCCTGATTTTTGGAGTTTTTTTTGGTTTTTTTTTGTTTTTTTTGGTTTTTTTTTTTTTTTTTTAATATCAGGGTGAGCTAAAAAACTATGGTCATGGGCAAATTCTGACACTTAGTATTTTCCTGCAAGTTAAGACCGTGCCCATGAGGAGAACTATGATCTTTCAGGTAAGATCAACTGTGGTGACCTGCTTGCATACTTTGAGGTCATCAGTACAACTTCCTATCTATCCCTCAATTTGGTTTAAAAGGGGAGTTCTGCCCATTTACCGCGTACACCAAAAAATCGATCTAACCTCTTATTCTGGCTATGCTGTTTGGTCCTCTATACTGTGACCAGGCATTATTATAGAAATGGTCAGTCATAACTTCCCTTCTGGAAAAGAAAAGAGGAGAAGTGAGGCAGTGAGTCGGGTCTCTAGCCTGACTTCCTGGGCTTTCAGATTTAACCAGCGTTTAACCAGTGC